GAAGGTGTCGTGAGCATAAGTTATTACAAAATATCTCGTTTACTTACCTAGCTACATTCTGGGATAATAATTACATTCTTACAATCTCAGATAGGCATTGATCCATTGTGACATTATCAGCAAGATTTCGCAAGATTTATACAGATTTTAATAAAATAAGGAAACTTTATGTTGAACTTATCATTTGATGGGAGTGTCTTATAGCCATAGTAACGGCATGCTTGCTGAGGAAAAAGCTGGAGTAATATCTGAGGTGTGAGAGAAGTTATACCTTGAAAGATATACATCCGGCTATAGACTATGAGACCTGCGTCGTATAATGTTTGTGAAGTATTATCTTAAAATCTCCGCAATGGTAACACTTTTGGGACAAGTTAAAAGTGTTCAAATCGAGAGGCTATGAACAACATGATATACCATGTGACATCACAATTGTGAACTGTTTAATAAGTATTCACAATTGGAGGTGTTCTCTTTTGAAAGTGTTCATACTAACAGATTTTTATTCAAAGTGACAGATATCATTTTAGCATGTCCTAACTCTTATATATGTATGGTATACACGAAGCATTGGAAATTGCTTATACTGGACTATACGCAAACTAATATCATACACTGGCATTGCAGAGGCTATACAAAACAGAAAATTATCCAATAATTATTCTGCGATAATTTATGTCGACGCTAGCCGATAAATAAAACAGTAAGGCGTAAAAATAATAGCTCCATCAGTAGAATTCTGATTCAATACCGATGTAATATTATAACAGTTCTGATTGTAATGGGATATCTGGGGAATATGACGTGTGTCATGCAATAGATGATTTTGACAGATATATAATACTGATGGATAGATACTGAATATGAACTCGTAAGGACAAATCGAGGATACATATTTAATATACATATTGGATGATTTAGTGCCTAACTGTAAGATTATATTTTAAGATATAATCTGATAATATTAACATATAGGATGTAGGATATATTTTGTAGAGCTTGTAATTGTGAAAATACTTTAGGTTGGAAAATGTTATGTCAGGATACAGAAAATTAAAAGAGAATATTCCAGAATAATTTGACAGATAAAGAATTGTAAATGTGAATATAGAGACTTACGTTATATTAAACATATCCTAATGTGATAGAGAATGAATCATAAGACAATCTAGTGTGTTACAATATGGATGGATTTCAGTCAAAAAATGGTAAGTTTATCGTCATGTTCAGTGAAACTTGTTATTGTAATAGTCTCTACCCTTTTTGTGGACGTCTTCAGGGGTTGGTGTTCGGTGGTCAGCATCTGTAACAAATGGCAGGTGGTGACATTTTGCATTTTAATGCCTTGTTTAAAGCTGTGTTGTGTTGTGTTTTGACTAGCTATGGGTGCTATCAGGTCAATGGGTGTCAGGATAAGAAGCCCTTCATATGAACGATTCTAGTCACTATCAGTGCCCTTATTGAAGTACCTCACCGTCTCTCCTCCCTTATAGTTCTTTCATTTATTTCAAGTTTTTGATTATTGTATAGTAACACATATTATTTACCTAAGTGGGGAGAAAATAGCACTCAACTTTTAATCAAATATAATGCATTTTACCTGGCCTTATTGTCTACACTACAACCAATATTTGCTGTTTAGTAGCTTGTCAATAAAAACTTCTGAGATCAAGGCTCTAGTGTTAGCGTGTGTTTTGGAATTCTGGTTTGACATTATCGTAGAAACTGCAGGAAGTCCAAGATAACAGAGGTAGATATGTTTGATTTTTTAATGAATACCTAACTGTATTATGTCAATGAGAAACTGTATTAACGGTCGTATTTTGAAATGCAAGAGAGATTAGAAATGTTTAGAATAGGTGTTGAAGAATGTGATAAATATGATGCATTTTGGGCAACAATCTAAATTGTATAGAATGCTAGATAGGGATGTTGTTTATTTATTAAAAGGGAATTACCAGAATAAAAACATATTAGTTAAGATAGTTTTAACTTTTGAGCTTATGACAACAATCCAAAGTTATGATGGATTCATCTATTGCAAATATAAGCAATATTAAATTGTTATCTTAAAATCAATTTTTAACCAGAAGAGTGAATCTATACAGGGGCGGATCCAGGAACCAACAAGGGGGGGGGCCCAAATTTCAGGTCAGAGTGAAAACTTCCGCGCTTGCGGGGAAAAAAATTTTGGGCCCCTAAAATCCAAAAGTGGGCCCAAATTTTGAAATTTTGAGGCCCATTTTCTTCAAAATTTGGCCTGAAATTAACAAATAAGGCCTTAAAAGGCCCAGTAATGACCAAAAAGGCCCACTTTTTGGGGCCTGAAGGCCTTTTTTGGCCCAAAAATTTTTTTGGGCCCAATTTTTTTTTTCTGGGTCCACCCAAGGGGGGGGGGCCCGGGCCCCTGGGCCCCCCCCCCTAATCCGCCAGTGCTATAAAACTATACACCTATACACCTAGTACAAGTTCAAGTTCAAAACTAATGTCTCTAATATTTTTAGAGTTAACATGGTGGTTGTCAATGAAGTTTACATTAACAAATTACTGCAATAAATAAATAAAAACATTGAGAGGTAGCTATCAAAACATCAACGTATATTGAGATAAATAGCTGCACTTTAAATCAAACTTTTTATTAAAACCTCAACAACCTTCAATTCTTCTATTGAAATAATATTCAGTTAACTCAGTTAGTTTGAAAAAAACATATTTGACAAATGAGTGCTTTTTATGAAATCATGTTCTATTTTGAGAAAAGCTGACATATTTGCTGTAATGCATTTACCTCCCTGGAGACCCTTTTGGTAGAGGCAATACAGATAGGTAAGATCATTGAGTGATAAAGTATCTAGTTCTAAGTTGATATGGTCATTTTAATGTCACCACCACGAGAGGTGACATATTGTTATAAACTCCCAACTATTTTGTGGACGGTGTTCAGCATTTGGCATCCAGTGGTTGGCAGTGGGTGTCTGCAACAAATGCTGGTGGTGACAGTTTGCATATTAATACCCCGTTAGAGGTAAGACTTGTAGGCATAATTGACATTTGGTAGTACATGACATTTTGATAGTATCCACCAAGGCTTTTTAAAAGAAGCACAATGGACCAATTGATTTTCTTGAACCCTCGATAAGTTAGGTGTCAATAAAAGTTAAATATAAAAGTTATATAGGATGATAGGATTTGTCACTCTATGTATTGAATAGAACTAGAGTCATATCTGTGTAAAGGTAGGAGATGTCTGAGTTAATTTATTGAACTATGAAATATATAAAAATCAATAGTCAGGAAACCATGCATTAGATAAGGAAAATGCATGATTATAGTAACTACAGTAAAACCTGTCTAATCCGAATGCCATTTGGATCGGCTTAAAGCGTTCAAATTAGGAGGTGTTCACATTTCAAGGTTTTTGCATTCGCGCGATTCCGGATTCTGAAGAAATATGAACACATTCTCAGTACATATTTATAGTTCATTTGACCACATAGCTTTATAGCATTTCAAAAATTTGAAAATTCAATTCAAATGAATCTAGTCATGCTCGAAGACCCTATTATAATCAAGACCATTCAAGTTTTTTCCCAAAGTTTTGATATCATAACAATATTTGAGCAATTTTGAATGAAACATGTGAAATTTTATGAAAAGTGTTCAGATTAGACAGGTTAATTTTTCAAATATGACTGTTCACTGTTCAAATTGAGAGGTGTTTACATTTCAAGTATTTTTTAACATGGGAGTCAATGGGAGGAAAAAACGGGACCGAAAAAAAGTGTTCAGATTGGGAGGTGTTCAGATTAGCCAGGTGTTCAGATATACTTCTACTGTACATGAGTTATGTATGATATATCAATTGTCAAAACCGTGCATAAGGCAAAAACCATGCATCTTTTTATTACATGAGCTATATATAAACCATAAACATCAATTGTCTGAAGCATGCATTGAACAGAGACGTGCATCGTGCATTGTTATTCTACATTCTGATTGTTCAGAACTGACAATGCATGTCTAGCCATGTGATTGTGTGAATCACTGTCTATTAAATGTATGACAATTGGAAATAACCCCATTGTCTGCATGTAATATTGAATAACGCTGATAAGCATCTATATAATATTCAGGTAACGTCATCATCATGGATATAAAAAATAATTCTACCTGCCTGATGATAAATTATGTATAGAATTGTGCATGTGTCATCGTTCTACCTGACAGTTGGGTTATGTTTTAAAATGGAAAATTAATGGATAACTGGTTTGCAAAATGAGGAATGAATTTAGCGAAGATAAAGATAACACTCTAAATTGTATGGAAATGCAAGAAAATCTAGCATTTCATTGAAGACTTGGAGAGAAATGGTGTGAAATGAACATGGTTTGAGCATAAAATTGATTTGAAAATGATTCATGATTTATATGCGAGGGTCATATTGAAGTGCCTAGGTGAAACACTACTGTCAGGTGTTATAAATGTGATGTTAATATATTAGCTAAGTTGTGAAAGTATGTCTAATATGAATTTGAATTAATGTGGTTTTAATTGCTTTTATATGATTGTTTTACAGTAGTATTCTTGAAATCCTAATATGGAGTTTGTCCTTTGTATGATTCTTTCTTGATTTACATTCTTGGAAAAGGATGTTCTCATCCTACTTTTATAGGTTTAACTTATACAAGCAACAACTTGGGACAAATACCTTCTTTTCTGAAAATATCAAATCTAGAAAAATATACTTTATTACAGTAGTACCCAGTTATGATGCTGTGCCATTTCAGTTTTAAAAGGCAATTAATTAATTTTACACACTATTTTTTTCAAGCTTCCATGATTATAGAAAATCAGTGTCTGGTCTGTGTCCAAATATCTTGATTGTGTGATGACGTTATACATCATAATGGGCATTTAAAATGTTTTAAGGTTATAAAATGAGAATTACAGCTTTTAACATAAAATCATTTTTATCACAGCTATATTTCTCGTGTTTTTCAGGCCTCGCAAGCTGAGCGCCAAGTTCCACAACCAGGAGGGAAAGATAAGCGACGATCGCTCCTTCCCGCACCTAAATCAAAACTTCCCTCACCTGGGGCAGTAAAATCCAGCCCCACTACACCAGAGGTCTCTCAGGATAATTCAGACTCGCCCCCAGTGTTCCCGACTGCGAAAGCGCCCTCTTTAAAAAGCCCTACTGCTGCAGAAGCCTTGTTTCTACAATTGGGGTACCGGGTGGCAATTGCTGGGGTCAAGGTCGGTGTACTGAGGTATTATGGGAAGGTACATTTCGCCCAAGGTATATGGTGTGGGATCGAACTAGATGAGCCAGAAGGAAAACATGACGGAGTCGTAGATGATACAAGATACTTTCAATGTGCTGATTATTGTGGCATTTTTGCTCCCAGTCATAAAGTTGACTTCATAGGTGCACCTACTTCTAAATCCAAATCGAAACACAAGCACCATAAAGAACACAGATCCCACCCAAGGGATACAAGTCCCGAGGTAGCAGATCAATTACATCTATCAAAACTAAAAATCAGAAAATCAGATATTGAGAAATCATTAGTAATATTACCCAAAGTTCAGGAGACTAGTCCAAGCGAAGTTACCTCCAAATTGACAATCAAATCTCAGACAGTTGTGACTCAGAAATCAGGATTACCCCAAATTAAACAAAAGTCACCAGAATCTGGATTATTGGACAGTTCAAAGTCACAGGCGGTCTCGGGAAGTGTAGAAGACAAGAGACCTAGTCAGTCTAAACAATCACGCTTAGTTAAACCCAAAGGGATACCTCGTCCAAAATCTCAAATTGTAGCACCAGCACAAAAATCACCTCTACAATCTTCTCAAAATCAGGGAGAATCGGATATTACTATACCGCCATCTTGTGAAAATACCATACGAACATCTCCCAGTGAATTGAATAATAATCGTAATGATGCAACAATGAGTAAAACTGTCACTAAATCGAAACCAACAACTTTGCCTCAACATTTAAACCAAAATCTTAATGGAACATTTACTTTGGACGATAAAGATGATGCCCCATGTGCTGAATTTGAAGAACTAGTCTCGCCAACAAAAGCTGCACAAAATCGTCAACTTACCCTCACATATGTTGGCGACTCAGGTGATGACCTTGATGACCCCAAAGAACCTCATTCTGAAACAACGGAGCCTCATTTTGAATCCAATATGGATAAATCGCCTACTGATTCATTACTCCCTCGTAGGCAAGTTGACAAAATCGCAAACAATTTGAATGCAACGTTTGACAAGGATAGTGTAGTTGGAAAAGATGCTTTGATGGAAACTAGTCATACTGAAGGTGAAATGGCAGAGAGTGATATCGAAAGTGCAAATATTGATGCAACATCTGATGATGTTTTGCAAAATGGAGTCGAGGCTAAAGGAAATGAAACATACTGTGATGAAAATGTAACAGATTCACAAGATATGGATAAAGTCATGGATTATAGTCAGGATACTGAGGATAACGTCAATGGAATGGACCAAGCTATGAATACCACATATGAATCAAATCAGCAACAGTTTGAACCTCTTGTTGAACATGAACACAATGTTGTTACCAACTCTCATCAAAGCATCGTTTTAGATGCTGAACACAAAGAGGCTGGACTTGGAAATGGTACAATTGAATCAGATAGTGATGCAACAGGTGCTGCAACAAGGACCAGGAACGAGACATCAGATTCGAGCTTACTGGAGTGTTTGCAATCGTCACATCTGATGAGTGAGATATCACGCCTTGGGATCATGCCACCAGATGAGCTGGAGAGGACCAGATTCTTGTTGGAGGGAGAAATGGAAAATGTAAGTGCTTGATTTGTTTTGTTTTTTGTTGATGAGTTTTCTTTGACTAAATGAGCATTAATTAAGAGTAAAACATTTCTTTGAGAGTAAACCTGAGACTTTTCCATGATTCACTAATTAACATACCTAATATAGAAATATTTTTCTCATTTTACTATATCACTACCAAAAGTAGTGACTTTTTGGCGGAAGGTGTTTGGTAGTTGGCATTTGATGGTTGTTGTTTGGCAGTTGGTATTTGGTGGTTGGTTGGTGTCTGTAACAAATGGCAGGTGGTGACCTTGTATAATAATGCTCTCTTTTTATGTAATATAAGAATGAAAACACCAGCTGGATGCTGAAATAGAAGCATGTTTTTGGATTTAGTATCATGACTAATTTCTCAGTGATCATGTCTCTTGTAAACAGATCACCTTATGGTGTACATTTTTCTTCAATGAATACGATCTTTACAATCTGTATACGCTTTCCAATATTTTGATTTGGGTTCTTTAAAAAGAGACCTTCATCTAAAACCCTCTGGGTAGTATAATGGATAGTTTAGCACTTTTCAAAACCATGAATGCATCTCCTATCATGATCACTTCCTTCAGGAAACACTGCTGAGATAAACACCTCTGGTAAACACCTAACTCCAGTGAATACATTTCCTTGTTACTAACAACACAATTGCTTTTAAATGGCAAATTAAAACTCAAATCCTTTTTATTAAACATTATTAAATATGAATCTTTACATATACGGGTCAATATTTTCATAGAATACAAGCAAGTTTCTGCTTATTGCATACTGCAAAATCATATAGACTTATTCATGAATACATTAGTCTGTGCGGCATTTGTAATGGGGATCGGCTAAATGAAATTGACTTTCATTAGTCACATACCTCTCTTGTTGAATCCCTAGATATTTACTCTGAATACAGTAATTTTGTAGATCTTACGAATTATTTTACGTCAACTCTTCAGGATAAAAGATGCTTTCTGATAGATTTTTTTGGAGAAGGATAAATATTATCAAGAATGATAATTATTTCTTTATTTCTAAATTGTTTGATTTTATTTATTTCCCCTTTAATTTTAGAAAAGGATGCATACAAGTATGTGAATCACGACACAAACCAAAATCAGATCAATATTCCTCGATTGCGTTTATAAAAACCATTTCGTTCTTTTTTGTTCTTTCTGGAAATCTATCTTATTTTTGTAGAAATGGCAGTATGAATCATGAAATGTCTATGTTAGATAATAAATTACATTCTGTCTTGAATATGGTTTAAGATTCACTCTCATCATCTCTAGGCTAACCCCTGGCTGACTAAGTCACCGTAGCCAATAAATTAATTGAATTTTCCCCGCAAAAATGTTATAAAATCTTGCGTTATATCTATGAGAAAATCGTTCTTTGTGGGCATGTTTTTGAATAGAAAGAGTGGTGAAGGGTGAAATCAACAAGGAATACTGAGAAGGCAGAACATATTGCAAATACATGAATATAAAAAAATCAAGCATTCCAATTAAAAATTATAAACTTTTGAGAAATGACATTGAATGACTGATGAGAGTTTACAATATTTTTAGATATGGACTATAGAGATAAGTATTCCAAATGGATTCTTAGGATTTTTATCTTACTGTCCTAAACTATTCACTCTTCTGTTAAATGATTCAGAATCTGATCTTGTAATATCATTAACAGCCTCCAGAAATCAATATCGCCAAGCATAGAGACAGAGACCATGTTTAAAACATCTTTATGTTCCTCTTCAAATGTAAAAATCTGTAAAAATGTCCATATATCCAAAACTGAAATTCTTAAATATGAATTCAACATTTTAAATTGGTGAAAAATACCAGTAAATGATGTGGTTCATTCAAAACTGAGTGAGATATTCTATGCAATTAGGCTTGGTCTGACAGGCATTTTTAGCAACGACGAGACCATTACTGGTAATTTACGTCAAGGGCTTACAATCCTCTTACATTCCAACGCAGAACGTCAGATCAGTTCTACTGTCGTAAGTGTCACATTTGTTAACCAATCAATCAATTTCAATTTGTTTCCGCATTTAACCTTACTTAATAATGCATATTATGTAAATATAAAATGCTGGCTGGTAAATGGCAAAATATGCAGCTTTCAGTGTAATTATTTTCTTAATTAATTTGATGTAGAATGTATAATAATCTTATAATGTTTCCATACCAGTATATAGAATGGTTATTCATTGCCATTATCAAACCCATTATTATTAATATGGCACATTTATTATTAGATAATTTTAATATCTTTCTAGTTCAGCATCCAACTGGTAATCAATTTTTATATTTTCACTTTGTAGATGCAGACTAGGGGTCAGGCTGTTTCATTATTTTGGGTTTGATTTGGTTTTTGACTCACTCTGTTCAGTTTTTTGTTTTCAGTTTGGTTATTATGTCACTACCAAAAGTGGTAACATATTGTTATTGTCTCCAATTTTTTATGACGGTGTCCAGCGGTTGATGTTGGGAGTCACACATCTGTAACAAATGGCAGTTGATGACATATTGCACGTTAATGTTATGATCTCAGCTCTTATCACAACATATTATCTGCTAAGATAAAAAATATAAAACAAAATTAGCTACATATGACCCGCATCAAGCATTTTCTACAAGCACCATCTGCATAGTGTGATTATATACCATAAAAATGAGAACAATATTTCATCTCATAAGAGAGAATGTTTTGAAAAAACGTATTCTTTATTTATTTTTAGGATTCACATGATGTGATCTCTCCCAATGAGCTAATGATGCCAGACCACTTGCTAGATGGCGAACTTGAAGAAATAGAGCAACAAAATGGTACATCCTTAATAGAAACAAGAACTCCATTCTAAATATATGTATAAAGCCTTTCAACAATGATATGATTTGAATTAGAAATGGGAATGCTAATTATCCATAAAATGACATGCAGATTGTGAATAAGAATTAAGAATAATTTGAAAATTTTGAATTATACATTTGTTATTTGAAAGTATATGAATAAACTAAGAAGTTATTTTTTTTATTCTTAACTTTTGCAATGGTGGCACACCTTAATTTGGGTGCACCAGTACCCGTTCACATTTTAGTATATTTTATTGGAGAAATAGATGTTCTAAATATGAAGGGGTTTCACTAGAATTTCTTACAACTGGCTAAATAAATGAGAACAACAGGCAAAAGTAATGGAAATCGTAGATTTAACATGGAAAAGTTGAAAAGTCCCTGAAACAACAGGCGATTTTGTGAAAACAACTGGTAAAATTGCAAGTTGCCTGCTGCTAATGAAACCCCTGATATGTGTGAAGTGTTCACCATTTTGGATCACCCTGTATATACATTTGACATTGTAGTATTTCTTTCAGGTTTAGTTTATGAGGATCAGTTTATTCATGATGACCAAGCTAATTATGATGACCATATCACCAAACGTGAAGACCACCATATCATTAGTGATGATTTTGCTGATGACGAGGAGCCTATCCCAGCTGATGATCTTGATGGTACATTTGACATTGTCACATCTACTCCTGCAGTACATAAACACAAGCAACTACAGGAAAGTTACCAACGAATGGAAAATTCCCCTATAAGCATGGAAAGTTCCATTGAACTCATCGGAACTTCTTCCATTCATGGCATAAAGGAATTTAATGAAACTTTCGAAATCAAGAAGGAAAATATAACTTATGTTCAAGATAAGGATTTGGATCATGACACACCACATGGTGTTGATCATGACACGCCTGATCTTGATGCAATGCATGACATCAGTGCCCCAATATGTGCAATCGGGAAAGAGACAATACAAATGGATACTACCACCACTGTGATGAATACAACAAACATTCTAATTGAGAAACAACAAAATGTAACAATAGATTTAAAAAATGGTGGCTCGTGTAAGGAATTAGAAGAAATTGAACTGTTGCACTCCAAAAATGAATCTTTAATTGGTGATTCGGAGAAAGAATCAACAGATTCAACTTTGAACACCATAGAAGGAAATCTCCAAGAACCTGGTGCTATGACAATAGATAATACAGACCTGATTACTACAACAACAGAAGAAAGGGACCATGTTGCCATGGTGAGCAAGGATGGAGACCAAGTTGCTATGCCAACTGATAAAGATGAGGGAATATCAACTTCTATGATATCAGAGTCGGATGAGAAAAATGTCTTCTCAGAGCAGGGTCCAGTTCTTAACAAAGATCGGCCAATATCAATCATATCAACGACCAGCACTGACACAGGTATAGTACACAATTAGAATGTTCCTATCTCATAAATTAATGTACAGTTATTCTCATGCATGGCCCAAATAAATCATATTAACCACTAGTTTAGACACAGGTAAAGCATGTATAAAATGTACAATTATTATCTAATCCATAGTCAAGCAATATCACAATTTCTGGTGACAACTTTTCCTTCACAATGACCAGTTATCATTATCACACCAGAGTTATTTGTCCTCTGCGCTATATTGTTTACATAACAGATTGCAAGAATCAGAAATATATTTGAATTTTGAGAATAATTTAAAAACAGTCCAAAACATGGTCATTTTTTGTCATTTCCAAATTCTCCATTAAGGGTGGGCTCTATTTAGGTAAAATCCCAAATCTGAATTCCCATATTTTTATGTCACAACCATAAGAGGTGACATTGTTATAGTCTCCAACTTTTTTCTGTGGTTGGAATTTAAAAAACACAAATTGCAGGTGGTGATATTTTGTTTGTTAATTGCCTTGCAACATTTATAATACACAGAGGATAAATCGTTGATACCATACATTTTGTTTATTATTTAAAGCATTAATTACTTGTTTTCAAGTACCATGGTTAATAATTTTCATTTCATAAGTACATATATGGATTATGTACGTCAATTTCCACAATTAAGGTGTGCGTTTCTTTACATGTAAAAGGTCCAAATTCATGAGTCAAATTCATGTGGCTCGACCAACCTTAAGATAATTGTAACTTTTTTTCTAGAAATCGAACTTTGAAGTATTCTTTTAATCTTTTCAAAAATAACATGGTATCATTTCTAAGCCACAAGAATGTCCAAATCTGGTTATTAACTTAAGGGAATTGATTCTATTTGTCTGTGTATAAAATATCCCTGAGTTCATGTTTACGATGAAAAAAGCATGAAGGTGCAAGGAATAGAGGACGATAACTTGTGACTAACTCTCTAAATTATAGAGAAATACCAGTAATTCATTTTTTTTTGCATTCTGTTACATTTTTAAGGGAAATAAGCATGGAAAAGCATGGCAAGATAGATTTCTAGAATTGGCTAAAAACATATGTTTTATTGCTACTTTTGTTATCTCAGTGTTATTTCTACATTTACACAAGTGCTAGCCACAAAAGATCAGAGTTACTCAGAATATCTGGAGCACATTTCTTGCTACTTGAGTTTTCCTTGATCTTATTTAATGAAAAAACACTAGATGTGTTAATCATAGCTGTTTGGTTTATGGCATAAAATATAACTAATGGTAAGATTTGCCAGCCTGTGTGTAAACATCCTTGAATCAACTTATTATTAGCCATCCAAGAAATATAAGTTTTATTAACACCCGTATGGGTATACTTGCCCGTAGCCAGCTTTTACCAGGAGGGGGAGCTTTTTCCAGCGGAGGGGGGAGCTTTTTCACAATTTTGGCTAAAAATCATGCGAAAAATTCTCAGAATGGTGAAAAACTGCATGATTTTGAAAGAATTTCTGGCCAGCTCCCCTTCTGGCTACGGGCCTGGTATAGCTATGCGGTAGAGCAGTTCACCAAAAATGCAGTGACCCTGGGTTCAATCCCTGGTTCAAGTGAGACTTCTTGTGTTTATTGATTCAGACGAGACTGCTTTGCTATTGTGAACAACTTGTACATTATGCAAAAAACTGTGGTGTGTATTATGTCACAACCACAAGGGGTGACATCTTGTTATAATCTCTAACTTTTTGTGGATGGCAGTTGATGTTCAGCGCTTGGTGTCTGTAACAAATGGAAGGTGGTGACATTTTGCATGTTAATGTCTTGTTTAAATAACAGTCATTGATGCTATACATGAACATGCTGTTTCCCCACATTAGATTCTCTTTATGCCCAAAATTTGTAAAGATTCCATTATCAATAATAAAGTTATTTTAAAATCAAAGGGTTGCTGCTTTTTGTGTCACTCTGTACCTGGACATGATGTTGCACAGGTGAATCTAAGTCTATACCTGGCTTGACTGACGAGTGTCAAATATAACTATTAGAATCTGGAAATGTGGCACTAATGTCAAAACATACACCAGATATCATTGTGCTTTATATGGACTTTTTGTCCTGGAATGGACAAAATTATTTTCATCATTTGTAGATAAATGCATTAAATCTGCACCAAATATTGATCATTTACTTTGTTTTCAAGTTACCTCAATTACAATTTTTTGTGTCAGTTTTTCTTCATCCTTGGTCAAAGGGTATTTTACTTCCTTCTGTAGCTGCTGTATAACAATGAAGCCCAATCTTGAAGGATGTTTTTTCTTGAATTTCAACATCTTGAAACTGAGTGTGATTTCAAGCTAAGTTCACTACTGTCCAAAATAATTTTTAGAAATATCTGATAGACACCTAGTCATTTCCATGTCTTTGAAACTTGTGGATGTTCGTTAGACCCATAGCAATATTCCATGATATAGGAAAGTAATACTGAAAAATGAGTTTCATGAGTATTTTGATAGTAATCAACCCCCACTCAGTCTGGATACAAACTTAATTAAATACATAGCCACCTTTGATACAGCAGGAGATAACCTTTCTTGTCTATATAAACACTGAACTTCTCTTCCCTAACACCCTGGTGCCATTTCACCAAATGTCATTTCCCAGAAGTCCCCAGTTATCTCAGTTTGACCGAACACCTGCAACTGTGAAGTTAACTAGAAATAGTCCCAAAACATCTATCTAAACATTGAACTCCATTGTTTCATTTGTTTTCTATTATTTCCTTGAATGCCATTTTCCAGATTCTTAGGTGGGCCCAGTTAGATTTTGCCACCTGTGATAGAGAGACTCTGCTAGAAATAGTCTTCAATCATCTATATAAACATTGATCTCCATTTCCTTGATTGCCTGGTATGAGTTCACTGGATGTCAATTCCCAGAATCCTCAGTAATGCTCGACCACTTGATTGTAGAAATGGAAATAGTCCTGAAACATCTCAATACCAATCCTTTTTGGCTCACACAGTGAGCCTATGGGATCGACCAGGCGTCCGTCCGTCCGTCCGTTGGTCCGTCTGTCCGTCCGTCCGTCAACATTGGCCGCACAATCGGATTGAGTCATATCCACATTCATTTTATGCATATCCATAATGCCTATTTGACCTATCATCGCCATTTCCCAAGTTCGCCCGGTTTCCGAGAAATTGCGGATTTTGACGTCAAAAAGTCAAATTTTCTGTAAATACTAGACACTTTGTTGAAGTAGAACTTTCAAATAACTTTTAGTAGTTGCTGTATATGCAACTTATGTCCTCTGAAGATTTCAAAGCTCTTGGAATTACAGTTTTTACTCTATAAAATTTGACAAAAAGTAGGACTTAGTCATTTTCAAGAAACTTTCTCATGTATAAAGTCAATGGCAGGTTTTGTGATTGACAAGTTTCTCAAAGTTTGCCTTATACTTGATCATTTCTTGCAATGAATTACATCATTACTAGATTTAAGCATTCCCTACATATTGCTCAATATATGTCAGCATCAAATTTTTACCGTTTTTGAGATATTTGACGTTGAAAAACGTTAAAACGTGACGTTAAATTTTGGTCAGCTTAATCACAAAAGACCTTACTGAGCTCTGAATTAGTAAAATTTTCAAGGTCAAAGGTCATCAAACTAGGTCACACAACTGTGCTATCTAAGTTTCTCAAAGTTCGAGACTACAAATCCAAATCAATATTTTTGTTTGAAAGTCAGTATATACATTCCTCTGAAGGTTCCAAACTGTGTGAGCACAGGACCGTGGGTCCTTCATTTGACTTAGCGGCATGCATATTCGAATTTTTAAATTCTCACAAGACATGTAACTGATGTCTTTCGTATTTGTACAAATTGCTAATGATACCTTCAAAGGCCACTGTATAGAAATATTCAATTAATTTGAGCTATCAATTGCTGAGAAAACTCTTGTGAAAAAGCGATTCACTTTTTTGGGACACCTGATATACCTGTCCAGACTATTTATAGCACTACTATTGATCATTGAATTTGTGTTGCCTTTGTTATATCATTAGAGAAAAAGACAATATATATGGAGAAATCACAACTATAACTTATGTTCATATGAAAAATAACAGCAACGAAAGGGAGCCAGTTTGTTCAAGACCTACAATTTGAACACAGTTTAGTTTTCTCTTACTAAATTAAAAACCTGAGTCTGCGGTTAACTGTTTTGAAGATCAACTATCCTATTTATAAAACATTGTAGTCTTCACTGCTGGGTTAAGACATCAATGATTGATTCCAGAGGATTGGGTTTGCAATGGAATCTTAATACAAGAGGCCTCAATAGCTTAGTCATTATGGTTTGTTATGTATACTTTCTCAAGCTAATGTTGGGAGGTGTAGACTGACCCGTTGCCTGGACCTAACCTTTTTCTAGATATAAGAGGGAGGGGGGTCTAAATTATGAAGAGAATTGAGAATCATGATAAAAACGTACTAATTTTCTCAATATAATCTTACTTTGGAAGAAAGGATCTATCAACATTTTTAGGGATTTTGGGGTGAAGGTGGTTAAAATGCCAATGTCCCTCAGTCAGTCTGTCCCTCTTATTCGAAATCTTTAAAACATTGTACAATCTCTCATACTGATATAGAAATTACCATGGAATATCAAAATGTCAAACAATGCTATTTTGTTATTCAGTCTTGATGTGTTATACATGATTGCCATTAATAATCATATCCCCATGCTGATTATATCAATCCTCATGTTTTTCATTAACTTTAGCTGCTCTTTCACTGGGATGCCAGTCTGTCCTGCCACCAACGTTTGGAACAGACTTTTGCCAGAATGAAAGAATATGAAGACCATGTGTGTTCACTGTTCAACACCTTTTCTTAAGATTTGAACAATGATTGCTGAAATTGATATAAGGAAAATTGAAATATCTTTTGTGGTTATCATTAGTTACATTATGAAAGACAATTAAGTGAATAATCGTAATAGTGGTTCTCACTTGAGTCTTGCTTTCTGATTAGCTAGTGCCTCAGTCACATTTCATCTACGGCATGGCAACTATATGGCAGCTGTAGCTTTTCAAAATTGAGAAAAACACGCAGCATAAAATATAGGGATAAACAGTATGTTGTAGACTTTCTATATCAATTTTGATACGTACGCCCGCCATAGAGTAAATGTGACTGAGGCTTAGCTAAGTTCTATGGAATAATGAAATCTGTGTAGACATACTTCAGGGAAGTGAATGTGTTTGATTATGTAGTAAGCAAGTCTATAAGATACATTGTTATTGATTTTGTTTATACATCTCAGCTAATAGAGGAAAACAACGGAGTTATCAGGTCAGTAGGGATTTCAAAACGCCAACCTATACTGTACATATGATCAATCGCCCATACAAATGCATCGCTTAAATATTTTCCGTTCATGTTTAGGTTGTAAAAAACATTGCAAGCTTAAACTCCCTAATAACATAACAACTCATGACCCTTTCACATAAAGATGGGACTTTAGTACACAGAGTATACATTATTTTAACACATAGATAACACTCATAGCCATCTAGATTGAACACAGCTTAGTCCAGTTGAAGTGTTCTTCTTGTGGAGGTGTTTTACTTGCAGATGATCATTTTAAGTTAAGTAAATAGTAACAGGACTTTGAAGTGTTCACTTATAGAGGTGTTGCACTCAGTGGTGTTCCTCTTTATATGTTTTACTGTATCTTCTAACACTTATGTCTCATTCTATTTCCAGGTTACCAACCTGATACAGACTCAGAGGTTGGCACCCTAAATATAGCATCACCCTCAGAATGGCAGGGTCGTCAAGGAAACAAGAAGCATGTTGACGGGACTGATACTGACAAACAACTTCATGACGACACCCAGGGACAACCAAGTGTCATTGAATGTTATGTAGCATCTTTTCAACAAGGTATGTCATTTTTTACACAATATCCTATCTCTTGTGTTTCAATATGTTTTGCCAATGATTTGGTCCAACCTGTATAAAACAGACTCAGTATGGAAATGAACAAAGTTTCACTTTGATTTGATATTCATGTCATGGCATTTAAGAATAGTCTTTTGGAAGCGATTCCTGTCATTAGTAGGATAAGATTAAACTTCAAAGTACCTTCGCATATATCCCTCACTTTGTCAACCATATTTTGCAGCTGATGAAGATGGTGAGAATGGGTCCGTTTGTGTTGATCAGAAGGGGTCTGAGAGTGAAGACGATACAACAATTGCCATGGACAGTGAGATGGAGAAAATGGATCACATGGAAGGGTAAACAATATCTGTAATTTATGAATCCATATTTGAAATAATATTTTAAGATAACAAAGCAGATTATAACATTATCGAACATATATATCAGCGCAGTATAAAAATCCATAAATGTTCTCCCTTGGATTTTTATAAAGTATAAAGCTTTACAATCAGCAGAACAATGATTTAAAAGTGCAATAAAAGAGATTTCAAACTGAACACTCATTTAGGCAATACACTTCTATTCAACTCTCATTTAAATTCTTCTGTTTTTCAAAATTGAGTGAGTAAAATGACTAATGTTTTTGTCATTTTTTGTGTTGTTATTCTGAGTCTCATTTATGTGCAAGTATTTTTCTCTGTTGGGCACAATTCCCATAATATGGATGATTCAATGCTTGGGATATTATTGAGTACACAAATTATAATTCATATCATTCTTACATTTGCCATTTTCAGAATTCCACCGATTCCCAGTGATGAACTGACACTTCCGAATCTAACTGATGATGTCGTTGAGGTTCCAACCAATGAGAACCTTGATGATTGTAAGGATGACCTACCAGTGAAACCGGAAGAAAATCCAGGCGAAGATGACATGAACCAATCTAAGGATGACATCTGTGGCACTGAGGTCAGAGGTCATGATGACACTGATAAGGTCAGAGCTCTCGATGACACCGAAGAGGTCCAATCTCATGATGTCGCAGTAGTTAAAGGTCATGATGGCGCTGGGGTCAAATCTCATGATGACACAGAGGTCAAAGAACAAGATGACCTTGATGTCAAAGAACAGAACCATGAAAATATCAAAGAAGCTAAAGACAAAAAGCCAGAGAAAAATGTAAAAACATTGTCAAAAGGACTAGCAAAAACACCTCGAAAACTACCTATTACAAAATCATCAGAGACAACTAAATCAAAACTGGGAGACACTCCAAAGAGTAAAGTATCTGATATTTCAAAAACAGAGCCTAAAAAAATTGGTTCTAATGTTAAACCTAAAATAGGGGGTCTTACAAAGCCAGGTACAAGTAGCTTGTTATCGAAGGCCCCTTCTAAGCAAACTAAGACACCTTCCACACTGAGGCAACCTATATCTGCAGCTCCTAGTAAAACCCCAGATAATAAATCTAAAACTTCAGCTGTGAGTAAAATAGAAACTAGGAGATCAATGACTGGACTGAAAGATTTGAATAAAAAGAACTTAAATGATAGCAAAAAAGATACTCCTAAAAAGCCTTTAGAAAAAATTGTTCCAAAAACAAATACTGAATTAAAAACACCAAGATTGAAAACGAATGTGAAACCAAAGACAGATACTATTCCTAAGGTAGAAAAGACCCCTCGAAGTAATAGTAAACAATCAGATAAGACCCCTCGTAGTAGTCTACCCAAACCTCCATTGAATGACTCTAAATCAAAAGTCACAACTTCAAGGAAAAGCACAACACTTGCCGATAGGACAAAAATGGCGGGAAAAACTGGGAAAGTTGCCAACAAAAAGCCGTCTGCTCAGAAGGAAAATGAAAAAGAGGCTGGAATGCTTGAGGTCCAGATTGATATTGTCGATGATGACAAGCTTAATATCAGCAAAGGTTGGTATTAGATGAAAACCACCATATGAATCTCATATATACATCAACATAAATAAAATCTCTTAAATATATCGACAAGATAATTTGTGAAATCATGGATATAGTCAAAAGTTTCATTTTTATGTCACCACCACAAGAGATGACAAATTGTTATAGTCTCCAACCTTTTTGTGAATGGTATTTGGTGTTTAGTGGTTGAGACTTGTAACAAATGGTAGGTCGTGACATTTTGCATGTTAATGTCTTGTTTATCATTTTTTTTAAGAATTTCAGAGCTATGATAGCATAAAAAACACCATCTATGCATTATGGACTCAATTGGTCTGAATTTTGGTCATGATCTATGCACTATGCAGTATATACTTCTTGCATTTAGGTAAAACAGGGTCAGTCCATAGCAGTAGGTCAGATATCAGTGCCTTGACTGAGGATACAAACAGGCCTGGATCTAGGACAGGCTCTAGGAGCAGGCTAGACAAACAATCTGACTCTAGTAGAATGTCACTGTCCAAGAGAGTATCAACCTCATCCACCCGTCTTAGAAAAACTCCAAGTAACTCCAGTCTTCACTCGGATATATCTCAGGTTGGTGTAATATTTAGAATTATTACTTCAACAAGGCTGTTTTCTGTGGTAGATTTTTTCAATCAGGAGGGATGAAAGTTTTGATAGATTTTTTTAATTTGAAGAGCTCTATGAAGAAAGATGTCAGAGATAAATCTCATCATAAATCAGCTTAAATAGTATAAAGAGTCCAATACTCAGTGTCTGTCTTCTTGAATTTTGTGACATAAAATAGTGACATAAATCAGAGTCTATTTAAGAGTCTAAGAATAAATCTGATTGAGTACACCAATATCACCATGGTGATGAGTGCCAAATATGTCTACTTTTCTTTTGTTAATATTTTTACGTATAAGATTGATTTTCTAGTTAAAATTGAACTTTGTATTTGTAAGAACCTTTATTTTGACGTTCTATATGAAATTTTAATTTGAAAATCTGTAATGACCTTTAATTTGACATTCTGTAATATATTTTGTCAATCTATAAGTCCTTTATTTTGACAACATATGCTTTTACATGCGTATTGGTGCAGTTCTATTCTGTTTTCATCTTTTGAACTCCAGGTAAATGGTATTTTAAAATTATTTTAGTGTTTATGTCTCGTTAATTTCCACTCTTTATGGAAGGGTCTTATTTTCACTTTACCTTAGCTTTTGTTGTTTAGGCACATATTTCATCATTCATGGACCCAGTTTCCAACACACTCCATGTAGTACCACATATTGCCGTGACTTACATAAAGCCTCAGTCACAGACATTTCCTCTATGGCAGTCACTTATAGTGGCCATAGCTTCACAAATCGATATTGAAAATGAACATCATACTGCTTATACCTATATTTCATGTTGCATATTTCTCTTGATTTTGGAAGCTATGGCCGCTGTATGGTTTCAGTAGATCAAATGTGACTGAGGCATTAGTTGTACACTTTGTGAGTTTTATTGTATTACACATATACTTGTTAGAAGTCTGTTTGGCTTTCTATCCTTCCTGGTAGTAGATGTTTCACATTCCACATTTATGACAATGTATGGCTTTTTTATTGTACTTTGAAAAAGTGCTATATTGAATTCAATTTGTGCTGCTGGGTAGGTGGTCGGGCGCCACACGGCCACATTGATCCTGTCATCAAATCTCAGGAAAAGTGCCCAGAGTGCTAAGATCATTTAGGTTTTGGGTATTCTGGGTAATTATATGGTGGCCATTTTGCTTATCAAAGTGCAATATTCATCACTATTTTACTTGTATAATCACTAAGAAAACAGATTTGTTGGTTCTACACATTTATCTATTTCTCTTACTAACTAAAGTTGTTGAAGGATATCTCAAAAAATAATATTTTTGTAATGTCCTTGCTTTGTTATTCCTTTCTATACCACCAACCTTTTGCTTTTGTGAGTAAATCTATACTAAGTTGTTTTGTTTCTTTGTTTTGCTTTGCTTGATGTTTGTTTTGTTTGTTTGCTTGCTTTTAGGATTCAGATATATCCACCGCGAGTCTTCCATGTCCCTCCCTAATTTCCGCCATTCCTACGTTTAAACTACCATGTATACCTCCATCTATTGAGCAGAGCAAGAATGAGAGGAATCTAGCGGGAACGAAGACAGCCATGTTGAAAAGGCGGAGCATGATTGAACCCCCCAAGTCATCCACTTTACTCAAGAAAGGTGAGTGATTCTAACTTTCAAGATGCATTACTCAATCAGTATTGAACAGCCCCAAGCTGCATTCCTCAATTTCACTCAAGATTGCTCCAATTTAATTGAAAGGATTAATATCTGCAAAATGAGGTTGCAGATTGCTAATTTGGAAAAACTTGGTATTTTCATACATCATTCATAAGGTTGCAACCTTTGAATCAAGTTAATGTGATAAAAATGTTTCTTCGGCTCATCAAAAGAGGGAAGTGTCTATTTGTCAAACACAAGACTAGGAATATAGAGGGTAACAGCTCCCAGAGTGCAACATCGATATTCTGTCCCATATATGGGCATGTTGTGATACAAAATTTGAATTCAAATAGCTGCCATTTTGTTCACTTCAACATTTGAATCGTGAATTTTGGTCTTATTTCCTAATGAAAAATTTCAAAGAAATGAGCGAGACATTGGTTTGAATCTTTTGAACAGTTTATTTTGAATTTATAGGAGTTTATAATTTCAGAAAATAATGACATTTCGACATTTTCATTGTTGGAAAATATCAAGTTTCGATCCTGGGAGCCTATCCTCCTTGGGGTAACCGGACACTGTATAGAGAAATGCTTTTGATGTTCATTCTCATTGAAAGATGGCATTGAAGTCTAACTTCGTTTTCTAACAGAATTAATTCAGGTTGACTTGCTTTTCCCAGCTGGCAGAAATTGCTTCAGATGAATTCGTGGAAAATATATACTCATAGTTTAGTACATCAAAGTAGAGCCCAGGTACTCTGTCTGAAAACAATAAACAGTTACGTTTCCAAAGCAACATCTTTTAAGTAAAACATTATACTTTATAGGACTCACAATTCTCAAAATTCTGAGAGTTTTGATACACTACATAATTAAATCTCAAATTTCACTTAGTGGAAGAGAAATCAATGCAATACTGGAACCTTGGAGTATTTGCAAATTATCTGAACACTGAATAAACCACACAGGGGGATTCTAGCTATTGAATTATTTAAAATGCCTAGTTGGCCTGACATTTTTATGTCACCACCAAAAGTGGTGACATATTGTTATGGTCTCCGTTTTTTTGCGACGGCGTCCGGCGGTTGGAGGTTGGCGTCCGGCGGTTGGCGTCCGGCGGTTGGCGTCCGGCGTCTGTAACAATTTCTTACAACTTCCTATAACTTAACAAATACTGTTTAGACTGACTTCAATTTTTTTCTAAATCATCTACATGTTCTCAGAAGTTCAAATCTGACTTTAGATTTGACATTTGACCTTCAATGACCTTCTCAAGGTCAAAAAGGTCTTTTTTCAACTTGCTTCACATTGACTACTTTTTTTTTCAAAATCATCTACATGTTCTCAGAAATTCAAATCTGACTTTAGATTTGACATTTGACCTTCAAATCTGACTTTAGATTTGACATTTGACCTTCAATGACCTTCTCAAGGTCAAAAAAGGTCAAAAAGGTCTGTTTTCAACTTGCTTCAAATTGACTAAATTTGTTTTTCAAAATCATCTACGTGTTCTCAGAAATTCAAATCTGACTTAAGATTTGACATTTGACCTTCAATGACCTTCTCAAGGTCAAAAAAGGTCAAAAAGGTCTGTTTTCAACTTGCTTCAAATTGACTAAAAAAAATTTTCAAAATCATCTACGTGTTCTCAGAAATTCAAATCTGACTTTAGATTTGACTTAAGATTTGACATTTGACCTTCAATGACCTTCTCAAAGTCAAAAAAGGTCAAAAAGGTCTTTTTTCAACTTGCTTCAAATTGACTAAATTTTTTTTTCGAAATCATCTACATGTTCTCAGAAATTCAAATCTGACTTTAGATTTGACATTTGACCTTCAATGACCTTCTAAATGTCAAAAAAGGTCAAAAAGGTATTTTTTCATCTTGCTTCAAATTGACTAAATTTTTTTTTCAAAATCATCTACATGTTCTCAGAAATTCAAATATGACTTTAGATTTGACTTTGGATTTGACATTTGACCTTCAATGACCTTCTCAAGGTCAAAAAAGGTCAAAAAGGTCTTTTTTCAACTTGCTTCAAATTGACTAATTTTTTTTTCAAAATCATCTACATGTTCTCAGAAATTCAAATCTGCCTTTTCGATTTGACATTTGACCTTTAATGACCTTCTCAAGGTCAAAAAAGGTCAAAAAGGTCTGTTTTCAACTTGCTTCAAATTGACTAAATTTTTTTTTCAAAATCATCTACATGTTCTCAGAAATTCAAATATGACTTTAGATTTGACTTTAGATTTGACATTTGACCTTCAATGACGTTCTGAAGGTCAAAAAAGGTCAAAAAGGTCTTTTTTCAACTTGCTTCAAATTGACTAATTTTTTTTTTCAAAATCATCTACATTTTCTCAGAAATTCAAATCTGACTTTAGATTTGACCTTTGACCTTCAATGACCTTCTCAAGGTCAAAAAGGTCTTTTTTCAACTTGCTTCAAATTGACTAATTTTTTTTCAAAATCATCTACATGTTCTCAGAAGTTCAAATCTGACTTTAGATTTGACATTTGACCTTCAATGACCTTTTCAAGGTCAAAAAGGTCTTTTTTCAACTTGCTTCAAATTTACTTAATTTTTTTTCAAAATCATCTACATGTTCTCAGAAGTTCAAATCTGACTTTACATTTGACCTTCAATGACCTTCTCAATGTCAAAAAAAGTCAAAGAGGTATTTTTTCAACTTGCTTCAAATTGACGAATTTTTTTTTCAAAATCATCTACATGTTCTAAGAAGTTCAAATCTGACTTAAGATTTGTGTGCAACTAGTTTTAACTTGCTTCAGATTGAACAATTTCTTTTTTCAAAATCATCTACAAGATCCCAGAAGCTCAAATCTTCAAAAACATTCTTAAGGTCAAAAGGTATTTTCCAACTTGCTTTAAATTGACCAAATTGTTTTAGGTGGTGACATTTTGTCATGTTAATGCCTTGTCAGAATTGTTACATTCTACATACTTTGTACTTATCTATTACAGAAGGATGATATCCTGGGGTTTGTTTCTTACAATTCTGACAAAACCATTGTCTACTTTTTGACAAACAATAACTTGGGACAAAATTATATGTTGCAATGGTGTCATAAGCGTACCACTAGCAGGCCCTTAGCCAGGATTTGCCAAGGGGGGGGGGGGGGTTCAGTTTTCAAAAATTTCCAGGGGGTTTCACATTTGACAATTTTGGCCCAAATATGGTAGAATAAAAAAAGCTGTATAAGCTTGATTGAGACATAATGGTTCTTTTATGGGTACATGGGGTCAATATCTCAAAGCACCATAAGAATCAATAACCCAGATTACAAAATAGATGATCGGTTCACAGATTTGTAATTCATATTTGAAGAAGTTGACCCTATGTATAGGGTCATAAATTTTTTAATCTTTAACAATTTAACAATTAAATTGAGACAGTAAAAATGTTTTATAAAGGGTCTTCTCTTTATAAGCTGTCAGCCGCCCCTAATATGATATATTTTGGAAAAATGGGAATATTGCGGATAAAGTGAAAAGTAATCACAAGAGAATAAGTAAGAAACTCATCTCCATGGTCACCGTGTCTATTGATTTTCATCTTAACCAAAACTGTGAAGTTATTGGTCCCTGGACAAATATCAAAAAATATCAAATATAAAACGTTTCTGATGAAAAAATGAAATACTGAGGAATGAGTAGATTTTGTGATTGTTTGTATATCATACTCTTGTGAGTTTTTGAGAAATGATGGAAAATTAAACACTTTATATTTGTAGAGAAAAGGGTACTGTGATCTGTATCAAATCGGGAATTTTTTGAGTGGGTTAAAACTTCATTTAGTGCCTTGTCTGATCTCTCAGAACAATATCCTTATAGATGAGGGCAGACTGTTCTTACAATTAGAAATTCCTATTGGATTTCGAGAGTGAGGTTATTATGAAAGGTGAATGTAAATATTGTCAGGAACGAGTTTCAAGTCTCAATTTGGCAATTTTCATTATTTTGGAATAAAATGAGGATTTTCACAGCAAAAAATGTGAATCAAACCACTGAATCCTGGAGTCAGGATTCATACAGGATTCATATGCACATATGAATCCTGTATGAATCCTGCCTCCAGGATTCATACAGGATTCGCTGTTTAAATAGTTTACAAATGAATCCTGCCTTCAGGAATCATACAGGATTCATATGCAATATAGTTTACAAATGAATCCAGCCTTCAGGATTCGTACAGGATTCATATAGAAGGTAGTTTGCAAATGAATCCTGCCTTCAGGAATCATACAGGATTCATATGCAATATAGTTTACAAATGAATCCAGCCTTCAGGATTCGTACAGGATTCATATAGAAGGTAGTTTGCAAATGAATCCTGCCTTCAGGAATCATACAGGATTCATATGCAATATAGTTTACAAATGAATCCAGCCTCCAGGAATCATACAGGATTCATATGCAATATAGTTTACAAATGAATCCTGCCTTCCTGAAGGCAGGATTCATTTGCAAACTACCTTCTATATGAATCCTTACATCGTACGTATCTGGATTTCGTTCATAATTGATTAATCTGTTAATGCGTTCCTCTAAGTAAATGAAACAATCATCACATCGTGTTTATAAGTGTAATTCAAGGGCGTATAATCTAACATGTCTAATGCTACTCATTTCATGGTATTACTTTCCGATCATTTGATAAAATAGAATACAATCAACATGTGGAAATCACGGATGACGGGAAAAACAATATTGTATAAATAGAATATATTTTAATAAGAGATTCGTAATGTAAGAGATTCGATATTTAACAGATATTTAGAATGAATTGCGACATTATATTCCAAATTCATGAATAAACTGTACGTATCTGGATTTCGTTCATAATTGTTTAATGGTTCCTCATAGATAGTAATAAAGTCATCACATCGTGTTCATTAGTGTTAATTCGAGGTTGGATAATGTTTTTATAATATGATGTTATAATTTTACATTTTATTTGTGTGTCTGA